CGAAGGCCTTGCAGCCTGGCCGAGATATCATTTGCTTCGTGAAACAACATGAACCTCATGAAACCAATATCAACCAAATGACGTGACATTTACATACATTTCGTCTTGATGAAGCACTCAACTTCCGACTTGCCATGAGGTTTCTTTTCCCCAGGGATGTCGTCAACACATCCCCTATCTCTCTGATAGATTCTGTTAGATTACCTGGATATGCCATGATATGCCTGGCATTTCCGGTAATACCCATGTGTCCTTCACTGTCCATCTATGGCATGGTGCCTCCCGCGGTACTTTGCCATGGATAATTGCCAATTGCCAAAGCGTAGCCCACGACCTCACCGCTTTCGCCCCGCCCTCCAGATGTGCTGCGGACAAAATCACATCCAGTGCATGAGAAAGTCCTTTGATTTATTCTACGAACATCAGTCTATGTAGACGTGGACATGAACAAGATCTAGATTCAACGTGGTTCAACATGGTTCAAATATGTTCAAATTCATCCCTTTTCTTATTATTTTCTTTGAAATCTTTATAGCCCTCGTGTTGATGCCATCGGTAAAGTTTTGACAACAACGGCCAAACGAATCAAATCCTCCAAGCGGCTCCACAGGCAAACAAGTCCTTAGGAATCATCATTGCCACTTGCCAAAGTGCCGTTTTCCCATCCAAAAAGTATTGCTGCGCTGGTCAATACATGATTTTGCTTGCGGCCCGAAAACCGGCCTAGTTTTTGAAGCGTTTTTTTGCGTTGTGATCTGTTGGGGGGGTGGGGGTGTAATAATGTCGTGTGTCTTCGTTGTCATCGAGTTACTTCGGTGGACACAATATCAAACGTTGCACACGTTTCCTTTACTTCGGTGGACACACTTTACGTTACGTTGAACACGTCTCCTGTGGGGTGGGAGTGTAATAACGTCCCGTGTCTTCGTTGTTATCCAGTTACTTCGGTGAACAAAATTCATGTTACATTATGTTACATTGCGCACGTCTTTTATTCTTGGGTGAACAGACTTCATGTTACATTGCGCACGTCTTTTGTTCTTGGGTACATTGCGCACGTCTTTTGTTCTTGGGTGAACACACTTCATGTCACGTTGCACACGTCTTTTGTACTTCGGTGAACACACTTCATGTTACATTGCGCACGTCATTTGTTCTTGGGTGAACACACTTCATGTCACGTTGCACACGTCTTTTGTACTTCGGTGAACACACTTCATGTTACATTGCGCACGTCATTTGTTCTTGGGTGAACACACTTCATGTCACGTTGCACACGTCTTTTGTACTTCGGTGAACACACTTCATGTTACATTGCGCACGTCATTTGTTCTTGGGTGAACACACTTCATGTTACGTTGCACACGTCTTTTGTACTTCGGTGAACACACTTCATGTTACATTGCGCACGTCATTTGTTCTTGGGTGAACACACTTCATGTCACGTTGCACACGTCTTTTGTACTTCGGTGAACACACTTCATGTTACATTGCGCACGTCATTTGTTCTTGGGTGAACACACTTCACGTCACGTTGCACACGTCTTTTGTACTTCGGTGAACACACTTCATGTTACATTGCGCACGTCATTTGTTCTTGGGTTAACACACTTCATGTTACGTTGCGCACGTCTTTTGTACTTCGGTGAACACACTTCATGTTACATTGCGCACGTCTTTTGTTCTTGGGTGAACACACTTCATGTCACGTTGCACACATCTTTTGTACTTCGGTGAACACACTTCATGTTACATTGCGCACGTCATTTGTTCTTGGGTGAACACACTTCATGTTACGTTGCGCACGTCTTTTGTACTTCGGTGAACACACTTCATGTTACATTGCGCACGTCTTTTGTTCTTGGGTGAACACACTTCATGTTACATTGCGCACGTCTTTTGTACTTCGGTGAACACACTTCATGTTACATTGCGCACGTCATTTGTTCTTGGGTGAACACACTTCATGTTACGTTGCGCACGTCTTTTGTTCTTGGGTGAACACACTTCATGTTACATTGCGCACGTCATTTGTTCTTGGGTGAACACACTTCATGTTACGTTGCGCACGTCTTTTGTTCTTGGGTGAACACACTTCATGTTACGTTGCACACGTCTTTTGTTCTTGGGTGAACACACTTCATGTCAAGTTGCACACGGTTCTTTTGTACTTCGGTGAACACACTTCATGTTACATTGCGCACGTCATTTGTTCTTGGGTGAACACACTTCATGTTACGTTGCGCACGTCTTTTGTTCTTGGGTGAACACACTTCATGTTACGTTGCACACGTCTTTTGTTCTTGGGTGAACACACTTCATGTTACGTTGCACACGTCTTTTGTACTTCGGTGAACACACTCCATGTTACATTGCGCACGTCTTTTGTTCTTGGGTGAACACACTTCATGTTACGTTGCGCACGTCTTTTGTTCTTGGGTGAACACACTTCATGTTACGTTGCACACGTCTTTTGTTCTTGGGTGAACACACTTCATGTTACGTTGCACACGTCTTTTGTACTTCGGTGAACACACTTCATGTTACATTGCGCACGTCTTTTGTACTTCGGTGAACACACTTCATGTTACGTTGCGCACGTCTTTTGTTCTTGGGTGAACACACTTCATGTTGCGTTGCACACGTCTTTTGTTCTTGGGTGAACACACTTCATGTTACGTTGCACACGTCTTTTGTACTTCGGTGAACACACTTCATGTTACGTTGCACACGTCTTTTGTTCCTCGGTGAACACACTTCATGTTAGGTTGCACACGTCTTTTGTTCTTGGGTGAACGCACTTCATGTTACATTGCGCACGTCTTTTGTTCTTGAGTGAACACACTTCATGTTACGTTGCGCACGTCTTTTGTTCTTGGGTGAACACACTTCATGTTACGTTGCACACGTCTTTTGTTCTTGGGTGAACACACTTCATGTTACATTGCGCACGTCATTTGTTCTTGGGTGAACACACTTCATGTTACGTTGCGCACGTCTTTTGTTCCTCGGTGAACACACTTCATGTTACGTTGCACACGTCTTTTGTTCTTGGGTGAACACACTTCATGTTACCTTGCACACGTCTTTTGTACTTCGGTGAACACACTTCATGTTACGTTGCACACGTCTTTTGCTCCTCGGTGAACACACTTCATGTTAGGTTGCACACGTCTTTTATTCTTGGGTGAACGCACTTCATGTTACGTTGCACACGTCTTTTGTTCCTCGGTGAACACACTTCATGTTAGGTTGCACACGTCTTTTGTTCTTGGGTGAACGCACTTCATGTTACGTTGCACACATCTTTTGTACTTCGGTGAACACACTTCATGTTACGTTGCACACGTCTTTTGTTCCTCGGTGAACACACTTCATGTTAGGTTGCACACGTCTTTTGTTCTTCGGTGAACACACTTCATGTTACGTTGCACACGTCTTTTGTTCCTCGGTGAACACACTTCATGTTACGTTGCGCACGTCTTTTGTTCTTGGGTGAACGCACTTCATGTTACATTGCACACGTCTTTTGTACTTCGGTGAACACACTTCATGTTACGTTGCACACGTCTTTTGTTCCTCGGTGAACACACTTCATGTTAGGTTGCACATGTCTTTTGTTCTTGGGTGAACGCACTTCATGTTACGTTGCACACGTCTTTTGTACTTCGGTGAATACACTTCATGTTACGTTGCACACGTCTTTTGTTCTTGGGTGAACGCACTTCATGTTACGTTGCACACGTCTTTTGTACTTCTGTGAACACACTTCAGGTTACGCTGCACACGCCTTTTGTTCCTCGGTGAACACACTTCATGTTAGGTTGCACACGTCTTTTGTTCTTGGGTGAACGCACTTCATGTTACGTTGCACACGTCTTTTGTTCCTCGGTGAACACACTTCATGTTACGCTGCACACGTCTTTTGTCCTTGGGCGAACACACTTCATGCTACGTTGCACACGTCTTTTGTACTTCTGTGAACACACTTCATGTTACATTGCATACGTGTTTTTTAATTCGGTGAACACACTTCATGTTACGTTGCACAAGTCTTTTCTACTTCAGTGAACACACTTCATGTTAGGTTGCACGCGTCTTTTGTACTTCGGTGAACACACTTCATGTTACGTTGCACACGTCTTTTGTACTTCGGTGAACACACTTCATGTTACGTTGCACATCTCTTTTGTACTTCGGTGAACACACTTCATGTTACGTTGCACACGTCTTTTGTACTTCGGTGAACACACTTCATGTTAGGTTGCAGGTGTCCTTTGTACTTCGGTGAGGACACTTCATGTTGCGTTGCACATGTCTTTTGTACTTCGGTGAACACACTTCATGTTACGTTGCACACGTCTTTTGTACTTCGGTGAACACACTTCATGTTACGTTGCATATGTCTTTTGTACTTCGGTGAACTTTTGTAATGATCATGACATATGTCAAGGCTTGGCAATGGCAGTACATTCCATAGGAATGCAGATGTCTGGAACATCACTGCCAGGACTGTCCGCAAGTTGGTGTGAAGAGAAAAGAAGTGCTGGCCCTGTGGCGAAACACAAAACCATCCAAAAAACGTAGCGTTTTTTGGAGGTGTGCTACGTGCAGTTTTGAACTCCCTGTTTCATAAATCCCAAGGGAAATGAAATACCAAAAGAAATCACCATGAGTGTAAACATGTGGCAAATGCCAAGATTTCAACAAGACGAAAAACAGAAAGATCATTTTTTTAAAAAATGATGAAAACGCTGGGCCAATTTCCGGGCCGTTCGGATGATTTTGTCACTATTGAATGAACAGCACCTCTGTCTCGATCTAGACCTCGTGACATCTCTGCTCCTGCTGGCGTCACAACGGGGTCCAAGTCGTTCAACTCCTCCAACTGCTTCTGTGGTTCCTGGTGTTGCTGCTGGTGCTGACCTCACTACAGGCCCTGATGACCCTGTCGCCACTTCTCCTCCTTGAAGGTGTCGACGAGCGAAAATGCTCCCCACTTGTCCGCTGCTTGCACCCGCACTGCCTCGATCTGCATTGACCGTCACGGAGAGGTACTCATTGCCATCCTCACCTGTGAAGCTCGGATATTCCTCCACAGCACAAAGGTCCAAGTGAGACAACTCTGGCTCCTTCTCGGGTTGTCCAGCTGACTCGACCGAATTGGCCTGACCTCCTTTTTGCTTGCCCTTCTTTCCATGAGCTTGCCCTTGGCGCCAGTCCTGGGCCATCAAAGCTTGCACATTGTCGATCCCTTGGCACCAAACATCCCTTCTTGCCTCCTCCTCCTGAAAACAATCCGCAGCCTTGATCCAGCCTGCCGCACTTGTATAAGTCATCTATTAAGCTATGCCTGATATATGTATGGCGTTATATTATTGCCCTTGCCTTTGCCTTTCTACAGCCCCATGTCCATTGCATCCGGGTCCTTCTTCATTTGAAGTTATACCAGATAGATCTCGACGAGAAAGTTGAAGGGATGTCGAACCTCGAAAGGTGAGAGCTTTCAAAGCATTGTCGAGTTGTGAACTCGTCCTGCTTGAACATCACCGTACCTATGTAACTCCGGCTGAGTTTAAGAGCCCGGCCATGTCCTGTCATCGCTCACTCTGCATGGGTTGCCTTGGCCATCCGTGAACTCCTCATACTGTCGTTTCTTGGACAGCCAATCCTCCAAGCAGGCACCCAAATCCTCTATCTTCTGGCACTTCTGGGGGTTTTGAACCATCCCCAAAATCACAACTCTCCGCATGGCTGATGTTGGATCGAACTCATTCAACAGCCGGCGCCAAGCTTCGACGCCATCACTGCCTGCATTTCTCACAACCTTGTTGGCCTCCCCTGTCGTGAAGCTCACCAGGTAGGCCATCAATCCACCAACCATGTTGTCCACGTTGTCGATCTGGTCTGTCAAATCGGCTCCATCCCCAAAGACGTCGCCCCAAGCCACTTGTCTGTCGCTGAAGGGGTCATTCTCCTTGACAATGACCTTGCGCTGCTTCACTGCCCAGCTCAGGATCTTGTCAACCTCCTCACCGTACTTGGCCTTCATGAATGTCTTGAATTTATGATTCCACTCACTGAAATCTTGGTCGGCTTTTCCTGAAAACTTGAAGGGTTGTCCAACACCTTTGCTATCCATCAGATCCTCACCCTTCTTCGCAGCCAGCTTGAGCACCATGTTGCGCTCCTCCTCAGCTCGCTGCATCCTTGTCATACTGTCATTCAGTTGCAGCTGCATGGCGTTCACCATCTGCTCCTGCCGAAGTAGGTGTTCTTGTTGAACTTGTAGTTGGGCCTGCAGCTGTACCAGGATGTCCCCACCAGTTGATGCCGTAGGGCTCGTCTGACCCTCCATGGCCACTGAACGAACCGAGGTCTACGCTACCATGATGAAACCCTATGGCGGCTGTCCGCACCTTTTGATCCGACCATGCTATGCACGGAGTCACAATTCGATCATAATATGATATAATAATATGATATGATATAATAATATGATATAATAATATGATATAATAATATGATATAAAAATATGATATAATAATATGAGTCACCATGATATAATATGATATAATATGATATAATATATGAGGTTGTCTCAAAATTGGGACCCCCACAAAACCATTGAGCGGCCCGCCCATTGCGGCTCTCCTTCTCTGCCCAGGAAGCCGTCAGGCCGTGGGGATCGGAGAGGAATCGCCTCAACGAAGCCGTGCACCCAGTGGAATTGTCGGCTTCAAGTGGTGACAATTAATATTAATGGGATAACATACCCTCTGGTAAATATATATATATATTGCATTAATTCAGGGTGGCGGCACACGGTGTAGCACTTTACGGCCTGACGCTGACGCCGCATTCTGACGCCACATTCCCTGATGATGTGACGCCACATTCCCTGACGCCACATTCCCCCCTGACGCCACATTCCCCCCTGACGCCACATTCTGACGCCACATTCCCTGACGCCACATTCCCCCCCTGACGCCACATTCCCCCCTGACGCCACATTCTGGCGACGCCACATTCCCCCCCTGACGCCACATGACGCCACATTCCCCACATTCTGACGCCACATTCCCCCCTGACGCCACATTCCCCCCCTGACGCCGCATTCTGACGCCACATTCCCTGACGCCACATTCCCCCCCTGACGCCACATTCCCCCCTGACGCCACATTCTGACGCCACATTCCCTGACCACATTCCCCCCTGACGCCGCATTCTGACGACATATTCTTTAATGCCACGTTATAAAATGACCCCTGGGCTCGGGGGTCATTTTAGTTGAGCAACGGGGTTGTGTATGCTTGGCTATGGCCAATAAGATGCCTAGCCCTTAACCTATATCCAGGTTCAAGTCAACTATATATTTGCCTATTGGTGAGGATATAATATAATTAATTCCAGTAATTATCTGGGTAGGTTAATATGTATCTCCAATCTCGGTTCCGACTTGTGGTTGGGCATCGCATCAGCTCATCTCTCACTTGTTTGCCTTTTCTGTTCGTTCATTCATTCATTCATTCATTTCATTTCATTTCATTTCATTCCATTCCATTCCATTCCATTCCAGTCCAGTCCATTCCATTCACTCATTCACTCATTCACTCATTCACTCATTCACGCATTCACTCATTCACTCATTCATTCATTCACTCATTCATTCACCCATTCATCCATTCATTCATTCATTCATTCATTCATTCCATTCATTCATTCGTTCATTCATTTATTCATTCATTCATTCATTCATTCATTTCATTTCATTTCATTTCAATTCATTCATTCATTCATTCATTCATTCATTTCTTTCATTTCTTTCATTCATTCATTCACTTCATTTCATTTCATTTCATTTCATTCATTTCATTTCATTTCATTTCATTTCATTCAATTTCATTCATTCAATTTCATTCATTCATTCATTCATTCATTCATTCATTTCATTCATTCATTCATTCATTCATTCATTTCATTCATTCATTCATTCATTCATTCATTCATTTCATTCATTCATTCATTCATTCACTCATTCATTTCATTCATTCATGTCATTTCATTCATTCATTCATTCATTCATTCATTTCATTCATTCATTCATTCATTTCATTCATTCATTCATTCATTCATTCATTTCATTCATTCATTCATTCATCCATCCATCCATCCATTCATTCATTCATTCATTCATTTCATTCATTCATGTCATTTCATGCATTCATTCATTCATTCATTCATTCATTTCATTTCATTTCATTTCATTTCATTTCATTCATTCATTCATTCATTTCATTCATTTCATTTCATTTCATTTCATTCATTCATTCATGTCATTCATTCATTCATTCATTCATTCATTCATTTCATTTCATTTCATTTCATTTCATTTCATTCATTCATTCATTCATTCATTCTTCCATTCATTCATTCATTCATTCATTCATTCTTTCATTTCATTTCATTTCATTTCATTTCATTCATTTCATTTCATTTCATTTCATTTCGTTTCATTTCATTTCATTTCATTTCATTTCATTCATTCATTGATTTCATTCATTCATTCATTTCATTCATTCATCTCATTCATTTATTTCATTCATTCATTCATTCATTCATTTCTTTCATTCATTCATTCATTCATTTCTTTCTTTCATTCATTCATTCATCCATTCATTCATTCATTCATTCATAGTCATAATAAATGTCATAGTATCATAACATCTCATCAAATCATTGAGAAAAATCTTATCTCCCAGCAGAAAAAACGGCAACGGTGACAGGCAGTTACAAAGTTCAAACCTACAGAACAAGGACCAGTCTACTGGCCAGATGTTGAGGAAGCCAAAAAGTGACAACATGTTTTTATAAAGAATATTCATTTAGTTCCATCCACAACCGCCATTGATTCAACATGATTCCAATAATGTTCATTATTATTACCGAAGTTCAACTTATCATCATTATAATGGTTGGTAGAACCATTCACACCATCATTGTCATCAAAATCATCATCATCACCATCATCATCATCAACATCATCATCACCATCACCATCATCATCACCATCGTCATCATCATCACCATCATCACCATCATCATCATCATCATCATCAATCATCATCATCATCAACAACATCAGCATCAGCATCTGTCAGTGGGAACCTTTTGTTAATTTACTGGCCGGGGGTGAAAACCAGACTTAGCACGTGTCCAAACTTTAAACCCCACCCAAAAATAATAAGTTTTGTTTCCTGCGAGGTAACCCACTGAGTAAGCTATGGGCTTGATATCAAGAAACACAATTCTGCTCATGATTGTTGGAAGCTTCACAATCTTCAACAATGAATGATGTCATTGAATCTTGGTATATCTTGATGAATTGAATCTGAGCATATGATCCAAATCATCCGTGGCATTTTCGGGTTCAGCTATCCAACAGAACAGGGCAAACATGACCCTGGAACAAATGATCCGGATTTTAGAAGCGATCAAAGATGATAGGCTGTGCCTGTCGTGCAGTTTCCCCTTCATCTTGCCCTGGCTAGAAGAGTCCCTTAGGCCAAGCCAATGGTATATCTTTTTTGATAGATTTATTATGATTTATTTCTATATATTTGGTTTCGATGGATTGGATGACTAGTATTTTTAATTGAATTATCAAAGGAAGTTGGGAAGCAATACTTCCGTGTTACGGACAAATAGAATTGTGAGATTTGACATTGATGAAGGGTGGTGTGTGTCTTTTGCATCGCACAACAATACATCACAAAAGAATAATAGGCTATGACACAGGGTGGTGTGAGACTTGACATCACATAACAATACATCACAAAAGAATAAGAGGCTATGACACAGGGTGGTCTGAGACTTAACATCCCATAACAATACATCACAAAAGAATAAGAGGCTATGACACAGGGTGGTGACGAAGGGCAGTGGTGACCTAGGGAAGTGGTGACGAAGGGAAGTGGTGACGAAGGGAAGTGGTGACGAAGGGAAGTGGTGAGGATGGGAAGTGGTGACGAAGGGAAATGGCTGCATGAATGTTGCATGCTCTGTGTTGTGGGGAGGAAGCCGGGGCACGAAACCTTGTGTTTTTCCGTGTAAAGTGGCTGCGGCCGGCGATGGAAAGGTACCTCGTGTGTGCGGCGGTTGCGGCTGGGGTCGTTTGGTTCCTCCTCTGTGTTTTGCAACAAGTGGTTGTTCTGTTGTTCCTGCGTGCGTAATTCTATGCGTTTCTTGAACCTGTGCTTGCAGATCGCATTGGAATGGCTGCATGAATGTTGCATGCTCTGTGTTGGCTGCGGCCGGCGATGAAAGGTACCTCGTGTGTGTGCGGCGGTTGCGGCTGGGGTCGTTTGGTTCCTCCTCTATGTTTTGCAACGAGTGCTTGTTCCTGTGTGCGTAGTTCTATGCGTTTCTTGAATCTGTGCTTGCAGATCGCATTGGAATGGCTGCATGAATGTTGCATGCTCTGTGTTGTGGGGAGGAAGCCGGAGCACGAAACCTTGTGTTTTTCCGTGTAAAGTGGCTACCTCGTGTATGTGTGCGGCGGTTGCGGCTGGGGTCGTTTGGTTCCTCCTCTGTGTTTTGAAACGAGTGCTTGTTCCTGTGTGCGTAGGTAGTTCTATGCGTTTCTTGAATCCGTGCTTGCAGATCGCATTGGAATGGCTGCGTCAAGGTTGCTTGCTGCCGCGGCTGCATGCGTAATACTATTCTCTTTTGCAGCTGAAGATCGTAAATCGTATTGGAGTGGCTACATCCAGGCTGCGATATTGATTTGTCAGCAGATTTTCGCAATTTTGGCGCTAGTAATTTTCCTTGTAAAAATCCTTTTAAAGAGTGCTTCAAAATCGTCTTTTTTCTGCTTTGGCGTCGAGATCCGGTTTTGGAGCTGCAATTTCAGACGCTGTTGCGTCTTTTGCGTTTTGCACCTTTTGTGTTTTGCAACTCGGTCTCTGGAGTCTGTTTTCCATTCATGTCTAGGAACAAGCTATCGAACTCTTGATAAGAAACCACGGTGGCGATGTGTTGCTAAAGACACCACTTAGAAAAAGGCTTCTGTACAATACTGCGGATTGGACATGAAAGATGAAACAATTATGGGGGCATGGCGGATGAAAGACTTTGATGAGTTCTATTTCCCCACCTGCCAGGTGAGGGTCGCTAGATTTTAACAGAGCTCTTCTCCTCCTCCTCCTCCTCCTCCGCCTCCTCCGCCCAGATCCCAGTGGGCACAGCCGGACCTCCACCGCGAGTTGCAGATCGCAGTGGGCACTGCCGGACCTCAACCGCGACTTCCAGATCCCTGCAGTGGGCACTGGGCCGGTGCTCAACCGCGACTTCCAGAT